AACGATCTCCTAACGATTAGGTATTTCACGTAACGATCTCCTAACGGTTAGGCATTTCACGTAACGATCTCCTAACGATTAGGTATTTCAAGTAACGATCTCCTAACGATTAGGCATTTCAAGTAACGATCTCCTAACGGTTAGGTATTTAATGTAACGATCTTCTAACGGTTAGGTAACTGAAGTAAGGATCTCCTAACGATTAGGGATTTCAAGTAACGATCTCCTAACGGTTAGGTATTTCAAGTAACGATCTCCTAACGGTTAGGTATTTCAATAAACGGTCTCCTAACGGTTAGGTAACTGAAGTAAGGATCTCCTAACGGTTAGGTTTTTCAAGTACTAAAAACACGGGGCAGTAAGAATAGCCATGACGTCACCTCTGTAAGGACTCCGATGGAGTGAGGGAGGGGGTGGGGGGTGGGGTTTAATCCACGATCCACGTTGCGCAGGATTGGTACTTCATATCTACTCCCGACACCGCTATCCGAAGATTTACAGAGTGATCAGGAAGCTCGGCCGAAGCCTAAGGGAGAGGTTAGTCGGCCCGTAGACCGTAGATGATTAACCCCTTGCTATGACCAGCAGACCCGGTATGTGGCGTGTGAAAGCACGCGCAATAGAATGAAAAAACAAAATAAAGTTAATATTCTTACCCTTGATACAAACTAATTATCGAATCTGTACAATGATAAAAAGATGAAAAGACCTACAAATAAGGACAAAATAGCTTCAATGTGACGGCAATCTTATGGAAAAAGGACTTTTGGGAGCAATATGAAGAGGAAAAGCAGTTTTATGTAAAGACTTTTCTACTTTTTCTTCAAAGTAAAATGTCCCACAATGCTTTGCGCCAACTACTCGTATGCGTCAGCAGTACATTGGTCAGCGTACTTTACCATGAACAAATATGGCGGCGCGCGGGTAAGTTGAATTGAACAGAAAGAACAACTCGAAAAAACATGTCCAGTAGAGAAAGAAAAGTAGTCAAAGGAATCCTTGGTGTTCGTAAATCACCACACAGACAGGTGCTACTATTTGGTCGTTACTCAGATCCACTCCCATCAGACGACAGTGATGATTCTGATTACGAACCAAATGAAGAAGAGAAGACCAGTGAAAACAAGAACAACGCAAGGAAAGTAAAGAATAGAGAAAGGCAGCGTAAAGCACGAGAAGTAGAAGAACAATCTTCTTCGCTGGTTGATTCTAAACGAAGGAAAATAAACTCTACCGATGTGACTGTATCCAAATTGACTGCAGCCTCCAATGCCTGGTCAGACTTGATTCCTAGTGAAGTGTTATTGCAGATATTTTTGTATTGTGTCAAGACTCAAGGAGCTGTTCCATTGCTTAGCAGGTATGCGACCATTAGTACTATACATATGCTACAGTAGATCTCTTTTACTCCCCCCTCCAAGTCTCAGAAATTATTCTGTACCATATTGATACAAAGACTTTCAAAATATCWTTCTAGATTATCTAGAGTATGTCGAAGGTGGAATATAGTGGCAAAGGAACCCAAACTGTACAGAAAAATGGATTTAAGTTGCTTTGGGAAGTATAGTATTGCAACAGATAGCCTGATCAAGCGGCTTGTTCAAAGAGGACTGTCTGGAGTAGAGGAACTCAGCCTTGATGGGTGGATAAATCTATCAGACAAGGGTGTCGAGGTAGGATAATGGTCAGGGGTGCACCAGGCATGGTTCAGTGATAGGGATGTGCTGCTGGAATCCAAAAACCCTGACCCTATCTAAGGCAATATCTTCAGTTGAAAAAGTATTCCTTGTTCAAGAAACAACACTGTGAATTATTGCCTAAAAACCATCTCCATTTACAGGTACTGGCAAAAAATTGCAAAAATCTAAAGTTAATTTCTCTGTCAAACTGTGAAGGAGTTTCACCCAAGGTTTCAAGTATCATGGCTGACCACTGTTCTTGTCTCTCCAGCATAGACATATCTGGAACAAAGGTATTCTTTTTCCCAAGCATGTTCATTGACATTTTCCAGAACTGGGCCCACTTTTCTCACTAACTTATCAAATGATAATAATGCACACTTTTGAAATATGGAAACAATTACATTTCTTACCAGTCTGTTTTCACCGCTCAGCTCATCTTTTCCATGTGCACACTAAAAGTAGGTCTACTTCTAGACAAAGTAAGCATTGATTGTTTAGAGAAAGTCATCATTATCATACTGTGTCAGTGCTGTGTGCTCAGATTCTATTTTAAAGTCAAAGAAAAATATACTTTATTCTACAGTATGTATCAATATTACATCATTTTTTCAATGCAATTGGTTTTTCAATTTTCAGGTAGACCATAATTCACTGAGAAATCTTCTGTCCCAACATGGTCATAAGCTGAATGAAATTGTACTAAGAAATTGCAAAGGTTTTCCTGGCTCCAGTATTCTTTCAATGATCCAGGTAACTGATAATGTATGGATATAATAAGCCTATTCATATCATTGTTGTTATTTTTATTATTGAAAAGAGTAGTGGAGAGGGGGAATTGATGTAAATTTTGTTGTGGTGGTTTCTCAGCTTCCTTTAAAAACCACATCAATTTGAATTTAGTAGTTGATTTTTATGAAGGGAGGTAAACCATAGGCTATGAGCACAGGAGAGTATCAACAACCAACTCCACTCACATATGATGCCTAGCCTGGAAATCAATCCTGCATAAGTGACACCCACCACTCATTAATCATCAACTTCAGTAACAGGAATGAGGAATTAAGGGAATGAGGATAGAGGTTATGCACTATCACGTGACGGCAGCCATGTTAGATTGCCCGGGGGTACTCTTGCCCGTTTAGGGTATGGATGYGTTGCTGAGCCTTCTAAACCCTGACCCTGTTCCAGAGTAAAAATCGCTGMAATTCATACCCTGAGCAAGATTGCTGAAAACCCTGTTCCAGAGAGGAGAGAGCGTGATTTCATATACCCTGTTCCAGAGCAAGCGTGATTTTTTATACCCTGTTCCAGAGTAGAATCACTGAAAACCATACCCTGTTTTGCGGCACATACCTGTGTAGCAAAAAAAGGGGGGACCCCCCCCCCCCCCCCCGGGTGAGATTGCAGGAACAATACAGAATTCAATTCTCAAGAGCAAAGTAACCATATTGTTTTGCCATCCAACCACAGGTAGCCCAAGCTGTATATGGGCAATGGCATATGATTGTGCAAAGCCTCTATTGTTATGAGAGTAGAAATATTCCACCTCACCTTAGCCGGTCATATCACCTATATTTACTCATGTTTTCTACACATTCAACAGGAGTTTTGCCCAAACCTAGTACATCTTGACATATCAGGTACTCCTGTCAGGCAGATCAAGATTGAACAGTTACAGGTAAAACATCTTACTTAATGAAATATTCAGAGGTAGCTGATTAGAGGGATATCTACATGTATTTACCTGCATTCTCATTATTTCTTGTAGAAAAAATGTCCAAAATTGAAAAACCTCCAACTAGCAAACCTTGTTCTTCAACCATCTTATTCTCGGACTGCAAAAATGGTAATCAACTTTTTCTTGTCAAATATTTCATTCTTCATGCAATAATCAACATGTTATTCGACTACAGTACATTCTACAAGACCGCACCCAGTTAGCTCAGTTGATGAGAGTTGGTTTGTGGTTCAAACCACAGCCTGACCAACACTCAGAGTTTTAAAATAACTGAGGAGAAGGTGCTGCCTTTGTAATTACATTTGCAAATGGTAATACCTACAACTCTTCTCGGATAAGAACATACGCTGTCTTTACTATAAAAAGTCGGTGTTCCTAATAAAACAGTAAAAAGGTAAATTATACACTGTGAAAAGATGAAAAAACTGACGTTTCGGACGCTAGTCCTTCGTCGGAGTAAAAGGACGTAAAAGTAGAAGATAATGGAATCGTATTTTTCTTGCCTCAGGGTGCACAACATGGATTTGATGATTTAGACCAACTTTCTTTAGCTTGTGGTTTCCAAGGGTCTTTATCTGTGAATGATACACTTATTAGCAGGTGCGTACTACTCCTACCAACAAACTAGAAAAGATTTTTTTAGGATGTCGATAGAGTTGCGCAAATCAAGGCTTCAGATTTTAGATGGATGTTACACATTGTACTGAGTTAATGGTGTGTTTCCCTTGCCAGGTTACTCAAGACCTCGTGTTTTCTGCGAGTTCTCGACATAAGAGGTTGTACTCACATTAGTAAGAATGCAATACAAGTGAGTCATGAAAAAATAATCTTTTCAATTAAAAGAAGAGGGTTTTTATAGCTTTTACTCCAGTTCTTCTTTCTTATGCCTAAGAGACCTACGGTACGGACAGTAACGGTACAGTCTCCAAGCATCTTTACTGAACGAGAGTTAAGTTCATACCATGACTCACAGTACCGTGTGCTGTTCCCATAACCAGTCATGCGAAATCTACTCTCTTGTGTACCGTCATCTCTCTGTCTATTATTCTTGTTCTAATCAGATGTGTTTGTTATCAGGGTTTGTGCGCAACATCATTGGGTAGCCTTTACCTTGGCAACACAAACGCCAAACAACCCATGGTGGAGATGATCGTGAACAAGGTACAACACTTGTAGTAGGATACTTGAATAATTGTATAAAATGTAGGTTAAGTGTGGGAACGATTTATCACTGAGATGTAGTGTGCGCTGCTATTATCAGTTTCTAGGTGGCTACGGCACTTTCTCTCACCTCTGTGTARTTCACGCGTGGGGCCGTGGGTTCGATTACTGACATAGCCACACATGCAAGTTGAGTTTGTTATAGGGTAGCATGGGTGGCGTTTCTCGGCTAACGCGTCGCCTTTCACCGCTGTGAGTCCAACGGCTCGGGTCGCTGGTTCGAACCCTGCAGTCGCCACACGTAAATTGAGTTTGTTTGATGTGTTGTTCTCTCCTATGCTATGAGGGTTTTCTCCGGGTTCTCCGGTTTCCTCCCTCCATAAAAATCAACATGTGAGTTGAGTGCGCGTGGAGAGAACTTCTCGGAAGAGTCCCGTACGGGAAGTGATGGTTGAAATTATTATTTTTTGTTCTGCTTTGCGCGTGTGCAATTACTTCTACTGTTATTCTGGCCTTGTTTCATACATGTACATCGCTTGATTCACTCCACAGTGGTGTTCTAGTTTRTGTCATCTTGATCTTAGCTATAACCCGTCAATCAGAGATGACACGATGGCATTGTTTGAACGGTTCTTGCTTCCTAACCTTACCAGCCTCGACCTCACGAGCACAGGGGTGTCAATCACAGGAGTGGGGTAAGGTCTGCTTTTGCGTTTTATATCCACTCAAGCGTATACTTACGTTCACCTTACGTATATTGTAGGTCTGTGGTTAAGGGTTGCCCGAAGTTACAAAATCTTAACCTTTCAACATGTAGAGGAATACCACGTGGTTTCAAACATAGACACAAAGATGAACACCTTGTTAGCTTAAAAAAACAAATCATGACAGGGACTTTCGAACAGGAAGACTGACTGACGGGTACCATGGCGATGAGGTATGATAATCACAATGATAAGTACCAGCAAACTTCAATTTTATTTTCCAAACTGGCCAATGAAACTATTAATAGATACAGATACATGCGGATAAATTAATAACTTAATTCTATATACATACAAAGCAGATTTCACGTGTTTAGGCGGAAATATATACGATGTTTTATTTGACACTTTAATGGATTCCAAGTATTTTGATTGGCTAGGTGTTACACTGTACATTTTCCGCCGTGAAGTCTGCCCTACAACCTAATGTCGTGTAATGCTTATGACCAGCGATTACATCCCTTCACTTAGCGCATGCTCATAAGATAGCTAGTTTATTATACAATAGAAATGACTTTCCCTGACTTTTTAAATTTCATAAACAATTTAGTAAATGATATGTTGACAGTGTTTCCCACGTATACCACACAATTCTCTACTTTCACATCCCCATAATACTTTGTGTCTTTTGGGGGTAACCAGAGGGTAAAACCCCACTTATTTTGCTGAAGGCTGATCAGACAATKATGATAATACCTTGTTTGGTATCCAAAAATAAAATAAAGAAGTAAAAAACAGAAAAAGATAGAAGTTTGAAGAGGTTTAAGGTAAATTTTAAACATTTTTTCGTAAGTCAATAAATTTTCTGTAATACCAAAACTATTGATGATCTGTAGACGCAAAAATAACTTGGAACAAACTGATAATCAGTGTTGTACAGATAAAAGCAGGTATAGTATAAATTCAATTAATAAACTTTTCAATTTGGGACAGTTTTTTGATTGGTTACCCCCCAAAGACGCAAGGCATTATGGGGATGTGAAAGTAGAGAATAGGCCTTTTCTGAGTTCGATAAACAGGATGCATTGTGATCTAGCTTCGGTACAAACAACACCATATAAGGCATTATGAACAAAAGTTGTTTGTAGCTAAGCTAGACCATAATGCACCATAATCGCTATCTTAGAAAAGGTCTATATTGATGCGAACACAATACTCCAGTATCTAATGTCAATGTCCATGCTTTGAAGCAAACTCCTTATTGTTTAAAGCTTGGTATTTTGGATAACTCGATTTCCGTAGTGTACTCTCCGTTCGCACTTTTTATCAATTTGCGCTGTTCCCTTCCTTCATATGTGGGACTGCGAAATGATGAGGTGTTGCGTCTTATTCTTGACTCCTGTGAGATCAGAGAATCTCTTACGTTAGTGTTAAATCGCCTGGTTAATCTACTGATTTCCCTCTGAAATTTTTGATGTCGAAAAGCGTAAAGAATGGGGTTGAGAAGCGAATTAATGGCGAGTAAAGTGACGGGAACCCAGCTCCCCATAACGATGAATCCTCGCAGGCTAAAGAACGTGCTACCAACATCGAAAAGAACCTTCATGAATCGATAGACATAGACTAGAAACAAGATGGTTGGTACGACAAAAAAGATAAAGTTGGTGCAGACGACTAGTGCAATCCGTTTAGCAAGTCTTGCTTCTCGTCTTACTCCAACAGAGAAGTTAGCACTTGCGGTGCGTACGTAGATGTATATTCTAACATACAGCGCTACACTTGACAGATAGACTACCACAAACCCGATAGCAATGACAAGCGTGACTGTCGAGGTGTCATCTAATACACCTGTACTCTTATGAAAAGGCATTGTGCACTGGAACCACTTGTGGTATTGAAGCTGCTTGATTCCAAGTACTGGCAGTACAGCGTAGACTACACCAAACAGCCAGATAACTGCTGTTAGTATCAGAGTTAGTTTAGTGTTCATTCGCAGTGATGGTCTGTCACAGTGGACTATTGCAAGGTATCGCTCTACTGTCATGAACAGAGATATAAACACTGTCGTTGTCTGACCTGTAGTGAATACAAATCCCAGGTATGGGCACATACTGATGTCATTTTTCATCATTTCGTTGGGTGCGACAATCGATTCCGTAAAAGGATTAAAGACAGCGATGCCAACAGTGTATAACCCGATCAACACATCACTCATGGCCATACTACAGATCAAGATAAATGATGCATTGGTTCGCAGTGTCCGTGATATAAGTACAATAACTACGATAGTAAGGTTGATGACCAGGAGAATGGTTCCTAGGATGTACTGAGCGTAGAAGAGTTTCTTCGGTAGATCGTTTAGTTGTTGGAAATAAACTCGTGTTATTTCTCCATTAAAGCACTCATGAGAATTACACAAACACTGAGGTGAGAAGCCAAGTTTAACGAATTCATAAGCCTTGCCGTAAGTGACTTCTTTATGATGGATGAAGAACGTATCCAAGGTAACGTCACAAGCTATGGATAACGTTTCRTTATCATCAAGCATGTCTTCGCTCTCATCTGTGTCTTTCTTTCCTACTGCCGTCTTCAAAAGTGTACAGTCACTACAGAAATCKCTCCACTTTAGTCCAGTTAATTCTTCGAGATTGCGCAAGCGCAGTAGGTTTTCATCCGGGACCCAATAGTGGTTTCCCGCCACGTGTATAGTTTGCAAAGATGGCAGATCCATTACAGTCCTGACATGCCATGTTTGAAGACCGTTATCTCGCAGGTCACTTACAAGAATAAAAAAACAGAGAAACTCAATGAACAAAACTTTATAATTTTTTTAGTAATTGGTCAAGCTTTACTTACACCGTCTTTAGGTTACCCAATGACGAAAAGGCTCCTTTTTCGATGGTTTTTATGCTGTTGTTTTTCAGAAATCTGAAATGCAATCATAAGATTGAGGTTGTTTATTACTGCGCATGCCCTTGCGCATGCGTAGCAGGAACCCTCGAAATAAGTGTTACTTACAGTTCTCTCAGACTATGAAGTCCTTGAAATGATCCTGCGGGAAGCCTTTGTATATCTGTGTTTTCAATTGACCTATAATGAAAAATTATCAGAAATATTTTACTCCAGCTAACTGACCGATAGATAGAGAGACCGACTGATACGGGCTAGAGAATGGGTCTTTTGGTGTTTCTAAGAATTCAACCTTTATCTACTCACAGGGAATAAAGATTCTTGACGGTGGATAGCACCAGGAGACTAGAGTCAGGAAGACTCTGGACGTCACATCTTGCATGGAGTAGCCCTGATGCGTCACGTGCACATGCGCAAACAGGGGTACAAGTGGTCCAGTTGGTGAGAAGTTTATTGGACTTGACAAGATAGACAGACATCAGAACCATGAACGATACGGCTGCTGGATTGATCATCTACATGGAACACAGTGGTAAATTATCATTAGATAAATACACCCAACGAAAAACCAACCAGAATTCATGAACAATCCCCCAACACTAGAACTAAACAACAAGAAACATGATACAGTGTTGATACTATACATTACGGTGATAAAGACAGACTTCTAGCATTGTAATTATCAAACCATCTAGACATTGTTGTAAACTGTTTACGAATTACTTAGTACTGATGGTGACCAGACATTTGCTTTAATTAAAACACTTTTACAACCTAAAGCTGGTTTTATATATTACCTTTTAAAGTGGTATCGCACCATGCGTCGTTCAAGCCACTCAACAGGCTTACAAGTACAAAATCTAAGTTTAAATACTGCCATTTTGAAAATCTTTATCAGACTAACCTTTTTGTAAATGCGTAGACCCCGTGGACTTCAGCAACTCTTCATCCGTATTGTAACTGATATTTGTGTATGATAAAAGCTAGGCAATATTTTCCCCAGCTAGATATCTCTTTTTGAATCACATGCCTACTGTGGGRGGAAATTAATGAATGTTATTGATAATTAAACAAATTACGATACGATTAGTCTAGAAGTCTCATATCAAATGACCTAACTTTATTACAATATGTACGGAGTGTTTTTAGCCTTGATCGCTACAAATAACTAGGAATGGCTATTTTTACTAGAAGAGAATTAATATCTGACCTTAGTGAAGGTTATTCTATACGCATTTTGTTTTGTACATTGATACCATGTTGCTCACGCCATTCCTGCATGTCTGTCAATTTATTTATTTAGAAGTTTAAATTGAATTATTCGCAGGAGAGCAGTAGAAATTCCATTTATTTATCAACCTTTATTCCCATAACCGCCTCTATAAAGAAAATGGTGAATTACAAGGGAACGTAGCGCTAAGTAAAATTGATATTAAACCAATCATCGTGCAACGTTGTTGATTGGCACTGATTACAGTTTGATAGATGGGGTCGCGTACCTCGTTAAAGTAATTAATTATTCTCATTACTGAACAGTCTTCTAAGAGCTTCTGTTCACGCAATGTCTTACGAAATAACCTTGTTTTGAACTTCTCGTAAAAACGACATTTTGTGAAGTATCTTTCAATTAGTCTTGCTAACGAGCATCGCTGAGACGCATGTCTTTGGTCAGCGGTCAGCTTGTGAGTGAGTGTTCTCTGACTGTGAGCACCACGTGCCTTGGGGAGTTGCTAACGAATGTTATGTTCAAGAGAATATTGGTAGGTTGCTTTAAATAAAATTGTATATTCAAGATCAAATTAAGCCCTTTACGAAGATTTTATTTTAATTCTTTTATTCAAAGGTAGACGTATTGCAAAGTATTCTAGTATATCCGTGACGTCATTGCTAATCTAGCCAATCGCAGGATAGCATTCTGAATTACAACCCATATTCGCCTACCAAAAATCAATCATTTATTTATACGATTCTTTGTTTATAGATAAAAAGTAACCAAATCTGAAGGGAAAAGACCAAGAATTCGTCATTTTGTGTAACTCCACCATTGTCCTTGGCGGGTTTAAAAACAGCATGCGTCACAGACTATTTTTCTAAATCCAAACGTCTGTTAGTTTCAAGATTTTCGAGCACTTTTTCATATTCTACCTATTAAAATCAAATGAGCGTATGAAAACAGCATGAGAATTATAAATAGGTTGTGTTGTTGCAGCACCTGTTCTGGATATAATGCCAGCGTTCGTCAGTATTTGTCTACACGGCTTTTCCATTTGTTAAAATGCATTGTGTTGAGGGCGAGTCCTAGTGAAGGCTGAGAGACTTCCTGGTGCCAGTATACGATTAGTAATGTCATGTCAAAATCTTATTTTTTCTGTATTTTTTTGATATTTCTACATCAGTGGGTACTCACTACTGCTAAGAACTAACTATAGGTTCATTTTAAGATTGGTTATAACGGGATGCGCAATGCAACGTAAAATAATACAGTTCTAAAAGATGGAGTTGAAGTACGAAAAGTAAAAATGTTTTCGATGCTCAGAAAATGTGTTGATTAATGCATTCACCTACCTTGAGCAACCTTGATCTACTCAATGATCAGTCGTAGCCGGGATTTTAGTACAGTGTTTTCCAATGTTATCACGATTCGATACGCTAATCCTACTTTACAACTCTCATCCGCGCAAATATCTTTCTAATTCAGCCGGGCTACACTCTTACAATAAACCAAGCTAGGAACATCATGTGGTGATCAATATTGGTGAACCAACTACTAACCAGAATCCACAGTCATCAATCGTATATTGAATTGTCGTTCTACTTCCGTTGTTCAAGTGAACTTCTAGAAGCGCAAATGTTTTATGGATGTTTGATGAATTCGGTTTATAGAGAGATGCAGCACACACATCCGTCGACGTTCGTTTTGCTAGAAGGTGTGATAGACGACTTACTTTTCACTTTTCCTTTAAGTCATTCATAGGTCAACCAAGCTCGTCAATAGTGACAGCTAAAAGAGGTAATTTTTCAGGTGGAAAACTTAGAATATATCAAAGTTTACATATATTCATGTACTTCTTTATTATTGAGATAGTGCAGGTTATTGAAATGAAAATCAAAATCCAAGAAAAGAATCGCAGTCGTGTGTCTCATAACGCACGTGACAAGCCAGTTGTGTTAAAAATGATTTTGTGAATTTCAAAATTCTATTTGCGTTAAAAAAAAACAAAAAAACAAAACAAAA